GAGAGAGAGAGAGAGAGAGAGAGAGACTGACAGACTGACAGACAGACAGACAGACAGACAGACAGACAGACAGACAGACAGACAGAGAAGTAGTTTGTGAGTATGTTTTGTGTACTGAACTTCGACCCCTCCCACACAGAACTCCTTTGCGGCGGCTAACGGCGAAGAACTGGATGACCTATTCCCCCAAGTCAACGAAGAAGAAGAGGAAACAGACGTACAGCACACGAGTCGTCACCCCATGGTTGTCCCCATCAGCACACTGGATCATGCTGCTGATGTCAGCGGACCCCATCCCCCTGACCACCTGTCGGCCGCGGTCAAAACTGTGGCGGTGATCAACACGGACACTCTTCATCTCCATGACAACGTGCATCACATCCGGGGCTTGACGCCGCGGGAAGACTCCGCACGCTCCTTCTCGGTCTCGGCCACCCTCACCCCGACCACGAATGACCAGCCCACGTCACGAGTGATGGAGTCTGCCGGCGCCACAGGGGTAAGTGAAACCTCCACTGCTGCCTCCGCTCCTTCACTTCTACGGCAACATTTGTAAAAAATAGTTGTTTCTTAAAAAATGTCTTCTCTAATAAAACCGTACACATGTACCAGATTATAACAAAAAGGTTTTACAGCTGCATTGAAAATGACTTTATTCTTGACGTCAGAAAATGTCGTGCTTTAAGAATTTCCTTTCGTGATTTTCTTGACAAAAGGAACAACTATATAACTAGTACAAGCAAAAGTCCCAGAATTATGAAACTGGTTATCATTTCAACAACGACATCATTCATTGCATCGAATAGGTGAAATAAGCTTCATGCAGCAAAATCTACTATAGTAATTGAGCTAAACCTTCTTAGCACGATGTGCCACCAATTATGATCACTAATTTGAAAAAAAAGATTATTTTAATGCTTTGTGTGGACACATGTAAAAACAATTACGCAGAACTTAGAGGTAAGGCATACATTCTTATACATCTGAAGTGGGAAGGGACGTTCTATAAAGAAACATCCTCTTGCGTTTAGATTTACTAGCGGTTTCAAAATACCTCTTGTACTGATATGAGTTGCTTTGACCAGACTTAACCCTGCACACCCGAGTACTCATGCTCCAGTGTGAGGTGGTGTAAATCTATCAGTAGGTTTTTATAAACTTAGGGGTTAACCCACATATACTTATGTCACAGCTACACTGCATCTATTCTCTAACGTACATTTTTTGTGTCTAAATGGCAAGTTGTTGCTTGTTTAAAACAAAATGCATGTGTTTTCGCCTACATTGACTCAATTTTAGATCACAGGCCAGGGCAACCTGCGCTGAGAGTGATATGACGTTCCTGCAGAAAGACCGAGTTACTCCATAAAAAAAATTCCTCACACAGGAATTAAACTCGGATCTTGTGCATGCGATGGCGTAGCATCTAATTACTGCATCACAGACGCCGGTAGTTTATCTCTGTTGGGTTTTTTTTGGTGCCCAAAGAGATCTGACTGAGCAACATCCTATTTTCTTGAATTTATACTCCTATTCCTTCAAGTTTTCATTCTTTCATAGCTTAAACAGCTTTGAGCTATGAATTACTGTGTCGCTCAAGACAATCTTAGTGACCATTCATTGGAGCAATGAAAATCCACAGTAGCTGAAGCTGAAGCACGTACAAAGTTCTGCAGATAGTCGTAAACCGCGAGCGCCTTTCTTTATCTCCCATCAATTGCTGAGAATTATGGATCCAATTTAGGCTTACAATGTAGCGAAATGTAGGTGATGGAAGTCCTATTAATAAAACTCAAGTCCTGGTGGTACGGTAAAATTTTGCTTGATATGAGATTTTGGCTCGCATAAAGGGCCGATCACAATTTTTAAAAAAGTAACATTGAACTAATGACATCTATACTAAATAATATGTAAAATCAGAAATGATTAATACTTTCTAAACTTTATGACTACCTTATACAAATCTTTAATTGTAGACTGGCGTCTGTGGTGTATCATTTAGGCACTTCACTGTTGCACGCAGAAGACATGAGTTCAATTCCTGTGGAGGGACGGTTTTTTTTTTCGAGCACATGTATATCCATCTGTGTGCTGGGACATCGTGTCCCTCTCAGCCTAGGTTGGCCTTCTAAATACTATAAATTGTGTCAACAGGGGCGTAATAGATTTACAATTACAACTTTGATTGTAGTCGGAAACTATATTGTTGCTGCCATTGAACTTCATTAAGGAATTTGAAGTGGATTGAAAGCTAGTAAAGGTTTTTAAATTTTTTTTTAAATATTTTTTTTTAAATATTTTTTTTTTACAGAACTTTAACCTCTAATGTATTGATAACAATGATAGCGTTCTTTTTTTCAGAATCCATACCAATGTTGCTTTAGGCGTTTAACAACATAGCCAACGAAAAGCAAACAATCATTTCGTGATTATGTACTGCTAAATATTATTATGTAACCATGTACGCAGCTTTCCTGTCTCTCTTCTCTTTTCTCACGGTGTTTCTCTCTTCCAAAATGGAAACACAGTCACAGAAACACATTTGCGCACGCAGACACACACAGCCAACTCACGCACGCACACACACACACACACACACACACACACACACACACACACACACACACTAACACACACACACACACACACACGCACACACACACACGCACACGTGCACACACACACGTGCGCCTGCGCGCCTGCAAACACACACACAAACGCACACGTACTCATATTGCCGGAACAGTTTTTTTCACACTTTCAACATTGGTGATGCAAAAAGCTTTCAATACGCCAAAAGGAAGTATCACAGAATTTATTCAGATATAGTATCTCAAAATTGATCACACATGTATCACAGAAGACATTGAAATATGTATCACAGAATTTACTTTCAACACATTGCATATAGAACCAAATAACATTGCAATAGTAAGAGACGACGCAGATGTCCATCCATGCTAGCGTTTAAGTATAGCCTATCATTTTTAACAATTGTACATTTTTTCACGAATAAACGAAGCAAAACTTGCAATTTTCACGTGTGTACAAATTCAGGCTTGCCATCTTTCTTAACTTTAATTTTGAAAGTTCCCACTTTTTGCTGCGTTGCAATCTTCTTATTAATGGGCTGTTTGAATTGGGTTGTTTTCCAGTTTGTTTCTGCTTATACAATATGTTTATAGTGAACACATGTGTACCTGTATTTACAACCTACACGGAGAGAGTGTGTGCATGAGTGACTTTATTACCAATGGCATTCTTGATCGCAATTTTGAAACATCCCGTGTCTTAAACCACCCTCGAAATGAGTTATTATGTGTCTAGTAGGGCGTTATGTAAAAACAATAAGAATGACACGTTTTAAGAGGAGTCGCGGGGACCCCTGCGTTATAATTATGATGGCAGACGCACGCACTCGCGTACACACGCTTACACACACACACACACACACACACACACACACACACACACACACACACACACACACACACACACACGCACTCGTACACACACACACACACACAAACACACACACACACACACACACACACACACGCACACTCACACACAAACACGCACACGCATGCATACACACTCACTCACAGTCCCCCGTCCACACGCACCAACAGCGCCTACTCCCCTTCACACAAACAGCCCTCCCCTTTCCTTTCACATACGCAGATACACCTTTTTTTTCTCTCTCTCTCTCTCTCTCTCTCTCTCTCTCTCTCTCTCTCTCTCTCTCTCTCTCTCTCTCTCTCTCTCTCTCTCTCTCTCTCTCTCTCTTTGTCCAAACACTGTTTAATGACACACCGCTTGTAATAGATCTAGATCTCTGTCTGTCTGTCTGTCTGTCTGTCTGTCTCTCTCTCTCTCTCTCTCTCTCTCTCTCTCTCTCTCTCTCTCCACACACACACACTCACCCCCCCCCACCCACACACACACACTAAAACTCTCAGGAATGTATATTTCCTTCGAAATGTTCACTTCTTTTTATTAAGTTGAACATTCACGTACATGTATAGTATCTCTCTTCCCCATCCACATCTCACGGTAACAACATTATTATAATAATATGTTCATGGCACGCGTGTGTTTCACATCAGCGAATGACCAAGATGGAATTTCCTTTTACTTCCACCTTGACGACACCACATTTGGAGAGATTTTTGCTTTATTTAATTTTCATCGTTCAAGCTCTGGTCGATTATTTGTTCAAAACGTTTGGTGTTCACGCAATGTATTCCCAGCTTTTAGACACAAAGGCACGCGTATTACGTGTTTTGAATATTATAGTATCCACTGAACTGGCATGGAAAGACCATTATTATTCCAAGTTCCAAGTGACAGGATAGCGTTCCACGAATTCCGCGACCACACAAAGCATGTTTTGTAATCCAATGTGTGTTTGTTGCTCCCACATTTTATTGTGTAGTTATTTCAGCACATTTTGGAATTCTTTGTTCTCTTGTTTTGTTGTTCACACGGTTCACTCACTGTTCAATCGATCGGTTGTTGTTGGCGTTGATCGAATGCTGGCAGGAGGGAGATATTGTAAAGGGTTTGAGCTTTTGTGATCGGTTCAAGTGTAGAAACAAATGTGAGCGAGATTAGGTGGCTGGCTGCTCAGATCACGTGCCTTTCTGTGTCGTGACTCCCTTTGTCAAGGTTATGGAATAAGTGGGTGAGTGTGATTTGTCAATATAGGCGTGAGCAATGATTTTTACCCACTTCTACGTTGGGGGGAAGGAGGGGAGGGCGCGCGCGAGAAAAGCTTTTCGGGCCCATCGTACCCGATTTGTTTCAGCAGTCAGCCACAGATGTTGTGTCAATATTACTCGGTAGTGTGGAATTATGCCCCTTTTCACTTTCCGTTAATGACGCCCACTTTCCGTTTCCGCTGATATTTGTGATCACCTTCGCAGGCGTCCTCGTCTATAGAGACTTTCTGTTTGGGTTTGCTCTTGCTCTGTTTTCGCACCGGCTTCGTGCCTTTGCTGTTTTTCCGGTGTTTGTGCGGGCGGGTGGGCGAGTCGTGACGGTGGTGGTGGCCGTGACCGTGAGTGTGGGTGTGGCCGTGACCCCTGTGTGACCTCTTAGTGGGGTCGTCAGATTTGAGGTCGGACGTGGGGACGAAATCCTCATCCTTTTGGCGATTCATTCGGTCTTCATCGTCGTCGTAGTCTTCGTTGTTTCCGTCACTGTCATCTCTGTCGTCATCGGAGAGAAGATGTGACTGCTGCTGCGCGTCTAATGGCGGATGGTCTTCACCTCTGTTTCTACATCTCACCGCATCTACCGGTTCTTCAAGGTCCTCGTAATTGTTACGTATTCGTAGATCTGTTAAGTCGGGCGGTTGTGCTGCCGTAGCGCCGAATGCTTCAGCCTCACCCTCCGTCTTTGTAGAAAAGTCTGCCCGCTCTCCTCTCCTGTCGACTACTGCATCAATATCATCCTCGTCCACGTCTCCCCCAGTTGAAATTGCACCGTTCTGTA